TATAATTGGGATCTTTCTGGATATCTTTTTTCGATTTTTCACCTAGCCCGAATTTTTTGACCCTAGAACTCCCAAAATCACCCTACTATCTTACATTAATAATAATATTATAATTAAACTTCTACCTGATACCTTTTTATAAAGTTATAATCTAAATATTAATCTAAAACTAACATAATTGTAAATAATATGATCAAAATTTATGTATTCAATAATAAAGTAACCAAACTTTATGTATTCTAATAATAAGTAAATGGAACTTGCATATTTAATAATAAGTAAACGAAATTAATTTATTTTAATTTAAAAGTAATCAATAATATTTATAAAAAAGTATCAGTATTCATATAAGATGTATACAATAATTGTATATATTTAAAATTAAAAGAATATAATTAATATCTATTAATGAATAATAATTTTATCTTATTTTAATTAAATTTTTAAATTTTATTATAAAAATTCTTTATATAAAGTATTAAAAAGTAAAATTATTAGAATATTTAAAAAATATTAAAATATAAAAAAGACTTATTATTTAGATTATTTTTGATATTTTTTGAAATCTTATTAAAAATTTAAAAAATTATACATTTTAAAAAATATAAATTTAAAAAAAAATTTCTTATATATTCTTTATATAATTCTAAAATTTTATTAAATTAATTATATATATTAATTTAAATAATTAGTTGATATATTTTAACTAAATAATAATAATAATGATTAATTAATATAATACAGTATATAAATATTTAATTAAAATTCTATATAAACTGAGTTGGCTTGATTTATTGCTAATTTATTTTAACTCAATTCAAAATAAATTTAATTGACTTATTTGATTTATATAATTATTAAAAATATTCTAAAATGAGATTTATTAAAAAAATTTTTTCTTTAAAAGAAATTACTTTTAAAGTCATATTCTTAAAAGAAATATTTTAAAGTATTTTTTTTTTTTTTAAATAGAATTACTTTTTAAGATATTTTCTTTAATATAATTAGTTTTATAAGTGTTCTTTAAAGAGCATTATTTTTCAGAAATATTTCTTTTAAAGAAAAATACTTTTTTAACTTTTTTTTTTTAAAGAAATTATATATAAAAGCATTTTTTTTAATAGAATTAATCCTAAATGTTTTCTTTTAAATTACTTTTTAAAGTATTTTTCTATTATTATTCTTAAAAAATATTATTAAACATTTTTTTAAAACATTACTTTAAAAGTGATTTATTTAAAGAAAATTTTCTATAAATAAAATTTTTTAAAAATTATTTTAAAAGTGAATTTCTTTAAAAATTCATTTTAAAAACAAATTTTTTCAAAAAGAATATCTTTAAAATTATTTTTCTTTAAAGAAAATATCTTTAGAGCTATTTTTTATTAAATATAAATACTACTAAAATATCTTCTTTTTTAAAGAAAATATTTTTAAATTTATTTTTTTCAAAAATAGCAAATGCAAGTTAATAAGTCAAGCTATATTACTTAGATTATCTGATTTATGATTCATTTTATAATGGTTTGAGCAATCCTAAATAAGCTAGTTTATTTGACTTGACAAGTAATTTAACTTGTACAAGATTTGAGAGATTAGTAATATCTGAATTTCTATTGTGAATTGCATAAATTCAGGCTTTAGCCAAATAAAATAATATGAAAGCGTTGCTAGTAAAATTATATTACAGATCATATGATTTATTATGTCTAATGACTAGATTTTACTGATATAATTTCATAAAAAAAATTTATTTATGGCTAAATATGTACCGATAATGCCTAGATACTAAATTTATTATACAAGTAAAATCCAAGAATCAATAAAACTTGGTCATTACTAACAGATTTGTAATAGGTTCTATATTACGTCATCAAATCTAAGGATCGTTACCTCATAAAAAGTAAAAAGTGATCAACCAGTAATTAATAGATTAGTTGACTCAGTACACAATACTTGGATTATTAGTAATAATAAACTGCATTGCACATAAGAATGATATTAAGTAAAATAAATAACTTTTTCTAAAAATATAATTATTCAATTTAAAAATAACTTGTTTCGAAGGATGTATGAAATCATGCGATAAATACTTCTTGTGACACGGTAAATAAACAAATAAAGTTTTGTTCGGGCCACCAATGAAGTGAGAAAAATTTAATCTCTTATTTGAAATTCATCGAAAATCGAAAATCCTGGCATTTTTAAATTTTATTGGTGTTTGAAACGTTATACAGCAAACTTTATGAGCTGTTCACGAAAAATTAATTTAACCTTTTGTTTTGCAACACTTATTGTTGTTTCCTATCCAATGTTTCATGTAATTTTTTAAATTCGGCTTCTTTTTCTAGGGCTTTCTTTGGTGTTTGATTTTTAACCCTTTTTATTTCTTCAATTTCCTCTTCAACTGATCTGTTAATGAATCGATGCGTTCTTTTGTTCGGCGTTACGTCATGTTCTCTTAGGTACGTAAATAAAATCTTTTTTTTAAAAAAAAAATAAAAAATAAGAAATATAGTTTCAACTCTCCAACACATAAAATATGTATGTAATTTTTTTTTTTTATTATGAGAGCTACTTATACCTTTTCAGCTGAAGTGGGCTCAATTTTCAAATCTTTGAAGGTCAGGATATTTGGATCATCTGAAACAATATTATCCTTACGAAGGAGTTTAACTTGATCACGTGTAAGAGTGAATAAATTTGGTGGTAATTTTTCAAGAAAGAATCCTTGAATCATACCCATTGTCCAAGGTAAGGAAATGATTGGACGTCTTACTCCTGCTTGGTCAAGTGTCAATTGCATAATTTCTCTATACGTGTACACTATGAGAAATGATATTGTGACCATAAATAAATAAAACCGCAGGGATGACAAAAGCATTAGATTCATTACCATTTGGACCTCCAAGTTCGAACGTTTTACCGTGAAACTTCGGATCCGAACTTGATTTGACTATTGCATTGGCTATGTCCCAAACGTAAACCGGTTGAAATTTTGTTTTCCCTCCACCAAAAACCGGCATAAATGGCAAAACTTTAGTTAATCTCGCGAATCTCTAAAAGCGAAAAAAAAAAGATCTCATTTATAAAGATTTTATCAATCATTATAATCAATGATACCCACGTTAAAGAAATCATCCTCTGGACCAAAAACTATACTTGGACGCAAAATGATTGCATTGGGACAAATTTCGCGTACGGCAATCTCACCTAGGGCTGAAATTGTGTTACACTAATAAACCAATCAAATTCCCATCTCCCCCTTTTTTTTTTTTTTAAAAAAAAGGTAAAAAAAATAAAAAAATAAAAATAAAAATAAGATAATAGACCAAGCTTTACCTTTTGTTCTAGCATATGGAATGTCACTGTTTGGATCAGCTCCAATGGCGCTAACATGAACCAATTGAGCGTTATTTTCTTTAGCGGCAATAGCAGCATTACGTGATCCGAGATGGTGGACATTTTCAAAGGAATAAGTTGGAGGACGTTCGTGCATTATACCAACAAGGTTTACGATAACATTCGCCTCTTCACATGTTCTTAAAACATCCGATCGAGACGTTATGTCACTTGAAACAGGAGGTAATATTTGATTTCCTATAATGCAAAGTTAGATTTTTCAAACAAAAGAAAGAAAAATATTATTTGTTAAAGTGAAATTTTTTTTTACCTAGTAATTGAAGTTCATTGACAACTTTAGGGTTTCTTGCACCCAACTCAATAGATGTCCTGGCGTCTTGAATAAAAGCTTTAGCAGCGTATTTGCCTGATATTGAAATAGAATGCAATTAATATTAATAAAAAAAAATAAAATAAATGAACAACATAATGCATTTCGCATTTACCTATAAACCCGGATCCTCCAATGATCACAACTTTTTTTATTTTAGAATCTGTGACAAAGGAACGAGTGCATATTCTGTTTGACATCGTCAAAATATTTTTTTTATAAAATAAAAAAAAAAATAATAAAAATAATTAAAAAGTCAATAATTTTTGTTTACAAATGTTGTCACAAAGTCCGCTAAACTAAATTTGATATGAATGAGATAGTCACATGATATGATTTGCTTGTTACAAACAAAAAGTTCCCCCGGATAAAGTTTTTTTTTGTCTTCAATCATCATATTAATAATTCAACACATTTTAGTCGCCGATTAAGTAAAACAAATGTATATTTAAATATGAAATGCGTTCGATCCATATCTATAGACAGATTGTAATACGACCGTGTATGAGCTTTGATTTTTTATTAAAAAAAACACAAAATGTTTTGTCCTGCCACGCGGTAAGAATTTCTTTTAATTCAACTAAAAAAAACATATCTTTATTCGCAATTTAAAGAAAGATTTCAAAGGGATTTTCAAAAACACCAGCTTAACCCGAAAGAGTTGAATAATTAAAAAAAAAAAGAATCATTGGTAGAAGAATTGAATTCCTCAGACAAAACTTTTTATTTTATGTTGGACAACATTCAATTATTACTATATAAAAAATATTCAATGAAAGTTTTCAAACGTAATACATCTGTAATTTACTAAAATTCTAAAATTTATAACATTCTTTGTATATTTTTATTTGTTACATTTTATATCACGTACATTCTTCTATTTTATTCGGTGATGAACATTCTCTAGTTTATTTTAAGGATTATAAATCCGAAAATGTGTCACATGAAAAATCTTTGAAATTCTCATACTATTATACTATATATTACCATATATAACTCTATCCATCTAGATTTAACCTTTTATTATAAAAAGAAAATTTTTCTTTCCTAATAAAATTTTTTTTTTTTTAAAAAAAAAAAAAAAATAAGGAATAGATTTTTTTAACCGTTTAATATTTTTAAAAAATTCGAATTCTCCGAATTTCTTTTTTTTTCTCTCAACAATTTTAACAAAATATTTCTTTTCGTCGTCATAACAACTTTTTGTCCAATAAACATAACATTTTGCGAAGAATTTACAAATTATCAGGCATATATTTTCCTTTGTCCAAGTTTATTTTTAATTTTTTGAACGTAAACACACAACAGACCAACTTTCTATCCGACTATCTGCGAGTTAATGTACTTGCAACAAAAAACAAAAAGAAATAACTTAACTATAGATACAAAAAAAAAAATTTTATCATAAGAATGAATTCACCTTCATCTTCAAGCTCAATAAAAAGCTCTTGTATCAGTATCGAAAAGGATAAAAAAGGGCCAAGACAAACCTCATATTTAAAATCTCATAAAAATATATCATTTTCTTTCGTAGAAGGTTCAGATTCTTTTCAACAAGGATACCTTGGAGATAATGATACCTTTCTT